AATGTTTTCTTGCTGTTGTGTAGACCCAGATGGATTTTCATCCTACCCAACAGAAGTCAAGTCTAATTCATTTATGACATTCTGTCTAAATTAACTCCTAACGGATAAACTGTTCTTGCTAAGTTTGGTCTTTTGTTTAACTCGGTGTATGGCATCAGCTTAAAATATAGCTGTTGATTCAGTCTAGCCAAGCACCTGTCAGCAAAAAATAGCTTCTTGCCCTGAAACAGTCGGGAATTCTGGATTAGTGCAGCCAGCTCTGCATTCCACTCAAGTGCACATGTTTGGGATGTCTTCTTGATACGGTCTTTTTCTGTTCTTTACTGGCAGGCTGTGCTGGAGACTATTCGGAACCTGATGAACACTGACTGTGTGGTACCTGCCTGGCTGCATGATATCATTTTAGGTTACGGGGATCCAAGCAGTGCACATTATTCAAAAATGCCCAATCAGATTGCCACCCTGGATTTCAACGACACATTTCTCTCCATTGAGCATTTGAAAACCAGCTTCCCTGGTCATAATGTTAAAGTAACTGTGGATGACCCAGCTCTACAGATACCCCCTTTCAGGTAAAGTCTGAACTCTCCTCCTTCAGACTTTCTGTGGTCAGTTAGTTGGGCCATTAGGACTGTAGCTAAAGTAAGTTTTGAGCATTGAGTCTGGATCTTGTTTGGGCAATCTGTACCTTCATCATATACTCACTGGGGTGAATTTATTTTATTTGACTAGTTCTAATTATTTGTATAGTAGTTATTTTGAGACCACAGTCAGAGTAGCTTTGTGTCTTATAAGGGATCAGTAAATGCTTGTCTGAAGAGTACTACATAAATATATTTGTAGCATTCCACTGAAGAAATGTGTGTGCATATTATGTACTAGAGGACTGGTGCACGAAATTCGTGCGCGGGGCGGGGGGGGAGGAGTTGTCCCTCAGCCCAGCCTGCACCCTCTCCAATCTGGGACCCCTTGGGGGATGTCTCACTGCCGGTTTAGGCCCGATCCTGCAGGGGCTGGTTGGAGGGATCAGGCCTAAACCGGCAGTTGGACATCCCTTTCACAATCCGGGACTGCTGGGTCCTAACCACTCACCTGCCTGATTGCCCCTAACCACTCTGCCTGCCAGCCTGATAGCCCCCTAACCCCTCCCCTGCCAGCCTGATTGACGTCTTACTGCTCCCCTGCTGGCATGTTCATCCCCAACTGCTGACCCGATTGCCCCCAACGGCCTTCCCCTGTGGGGCTGAGGGTCCTGGAGGACTGAGGCTGGATGAGGCAGGCCTGAGTGGACTGGGCTCCACGGTCTTTGTGAGGGCATGGCAGTCAATTAGCATATTCCCTCTTTATTAGATAGGAAAGTCTGGCATACTGCATAGCCATGTGATTTTTAACTTTCTTTTTTTTGTTTTGTTTTTTAAATTCTCTTATTTTTAACTTTGCTTGCTTTCACAAGTTTTAAATATTTGCAATATAGTTATATTTAATGTTAAAGGAGTTTTGGTTATAAAATTTGAGTAGAAATAGGACAAAGTACTTGAAGCACCGACCGCTGTTCCTAGAGTTCCATCACACAGGTAGTGACAAAGCACTTTGTGTACCTTGGGTGATAAGAAAGCACCTGCTTCCTCAGCTGGAAATTACAACGTACAATTTTAGTTCTTAAATATAAATGTAACTAGTGTCCTGGTGCACAAAATTCATGCACAGGGGGGTTGCTGTGGCAGTGGTGCGGCACGGGCAGGTGGGTCCCTCAGCCCAGCCTGCACCCTCTCCAATCTGGTATCCCTCTCACAATCTGGGACCACTGGCTCCTAACTGTTCACCTGCCGTCCTGCCTGATCACCCCTAACCACTCTGCATGCTAGCCTGCTCATCCCCAACTGCCCCCACTGCCAGCCTACTTGTCCCCAACTCCCCCTCCTGCTGGCCTTCTCCCCCCAGCAGCCCCCCACTGCTGGCCTGCTCCCCCCCAACTGCCCCCCCCCTGCCGCAGCCTGATCACCCCCAACTGCCCTCCCCTCCTGGCCTGATCGCCCCTAACCGCCTCTGCCACGGCCCTGCCATCATGGCTTTGTCTGGAGGGACGTCCAGAAGGTCTCCCCGTCTAATTAGCATATTACCCTTTTATTAGTATAGATAACCCTACGTATTAAAAACATGAATCCTTATAACACCTAAATGTAGTCTTCCTCTTATACTTTCCAAATCCTATTAATGGCAAAATCATTCTTCTAGTTACTCTGCCTTGAAATCTTGGCATTATTTTTGAAAATTTTTTACTCTAATTCCTGCTACGCCTTATCGGTTCTGCCTTCAGGATGCTGTTATGTGTCACTCCTGTCCACAGCCTCTCTAGGCCTTAAACACTTCAGTCTTTGGTGGCGGTGTCTTTCCTGCCTTTGTCTCCTCACTGTACCTATTACATGCTTTACTGCTAGAGTCATCCCGCTCCCTAACTGAGAAACTGAATTTTCCTGTTGCTTATCAGCCTCTTAGCCTCTTTGTTTCTTAGCACGTGGGGGTGGGTATTATCTGTCCTTTCAGAATGGGAAGAAAGACTGGAAAAAGTATACACAGAATTAATGTTTTATTTTAACTTTAGTTTTTTCATTCACTTCCCCAGGCACCTGTGGGGAGTTGCCTCCTAGGGCAGTGGTCGGCAAACTGCGGCTCGCGAGCCACGTGCAGCTCTTTGGCCCCTTGAGTGTGGCTCTTCCACAAAATACCGACTTCTGCGCATGGGCCACAAACTTTCAATCGCACTGTACTTGCGCACCCACACGTGGTATTTTGTGGAAGTGCTATACTCAGGGGCTAAAGAGCCGCATGTGGCTCGCGAGCTGCAGGTTGCCGACCACTGTCCTAGGGTATCCCTGACCCCGGGCTAATAACTTCTGCCTTAAAGCCTTGGTATTCCAAAGGGGCCGTCACAAGGCCCCAGCCTTTCTCTCTAGCCTTAAATTGTGTCCCGCACTCCAGCAAAGCTGCTGGTGTTTCTTTCTTCCCGGAGTGTCTTCCCTCCCATGTTTACATGTCTGAATTCTTCGAAACTCATCTTAGATGCCAGGAAGCCTTTTCTAATTAAATCAAGGACAGTGTGTGTAGCACTTCACATGTGACTTAAGTATATGTTTCTTTTTTTTATTTTCCTTAATTGGATGACTTTTTCTAATCTGAGCACCTTTAACACATTTTAGTGCTTTTAATTCTGCTTTTCTTCAAAATTTATGTACAGATAGTGAGAGCCTTTAGATCATAAATGTTTCTTACTGATCTGATTATTCTTCACACAATGTATGCACAATTATAAACATTGTTAATTGTAAAACTAAACAGAAGTTTGGTCTTATAGGATAACTTTTCCAGTAAGAAGTGGAAAAGGGAAGAAAAGGAAAGACGTGGATGGGGAAGATGAAGACACTGAAGAGGCCAAGACCTTAATTGTTGAACCTCATGTTATTCCTAATCGGGGTCCTTACCCTTACAACCAACCCAAGCGGTAATTTTACTATCTGGGAAAATTGTATAATTAATAATAGCTTGCTATTTCAAATGGATTTGTAATATTTTTTATTATTTTCTGATTCTTTAAAAATCCC